AGTCACATCAGATCAGACAGTGATTTTTAATTGTTCAGGTTGATTTTTAAATTGATTTTCTTTACTTGTTTACATTTTTGTGAGCACTGAACCCAGTTTGGACGTTCAGTCTGAAGCTGATAAACGTCTATAAAATGAAACTGTAGGTGTCCTGCACCTCCTCACTGATGCTGCATGATTACATTATATCCTGTTTTCTTTCTTCAGACCACAGTCTGCAGAGAAGCCATGCACATCTGCACATGCACAAGTGATGCAAAGTTTTTCATCAATTGTGAGCAAAACATCTTTTGTTGTGAATATAAAGTTGTATCACTTATACTTACAGGGCTTATAGCAGTTTTGTTGAACAGGCGGACTGACCTCAGAGCTCACCGGGTTGGAAACATTGCAAGAGAAATTAGCGTTTAGCACATCTTTGGCTACTCTGGTCAGCGTCTTCCCTTTTTCTTCCAACATTTCACCATCCATTAACCATGTGATCGTCTCATTCTGTGGAAAACAATGTTATTTTCAAGGAGTGTGTGTTTATTGAACTCAGGAAAAAAAGAAAATATGACTGATCACGGAGCTAATAGTTTAACAGAGTCTCAGTTAGTGAACTTGAATTTAAAGAGGATCAGGAAATCTCTAGAAAAGCTATTTAGTGGATTTTGTGCCTCTTAACTAAAGTTGTGACCTGAGAAAAAGAGAACGGTCATCCACAGCAGCCTGCCATCATGATTTAACTTAACCTACATACACTCTGGTAAACGGGCTGGTTCTTATTCTGATCCCTTGTTGACAGAGCAGTGTCTGTGTGTGGATGTTTGCTGTCAAGTGTCTGCAGTTCATTCATGATGAGTTTCAGATTAAAGCAAGTGAGGTTACTGAAGCTCTTTTTTACAGGTTCTTTTAACCTTTAATTATGAGTTTGCCATTTGAAGAATAAGAATAGTTTTACTTACCTGACCAACACTGCAAGTAAAATGGACATGTCCATTATCTGTACACGTCTTTGTCGTCACAGTGGGCTTCTGCACACGGTCTGAGTAAAGCAAATTAGATTATATCAACAGTATATTAGGCGAGGCTGATAACACATTAATTTAAAAAAAGAACAACAAATATTGCTGCATTACAAATCTGAGGAGTGGCTTCAGAATATTAACATTAATGTGTTTGTACATACATTTGTTTTGGTTAAACAATGTATTTTTACCTACCTAATACACACAAATGCACACTCTGTAAATTTTTCCCCACATTTACTCCATCTGCACTGTAAACCTCTGGTCTGTATCGTCCTGACATGTCTTTGGTCAGTTTTGTCAGCTTTAGTGATCCAGTTGAATCAACATCATCATTTTTCCCTGAGATCACCAGTTTCCGTCTGCGACTAAAGACTACACTTGCGTCCTTGAACCATTTCAGGTTATCTGATTCCTTCAACTCATGCTTTAGGGGCACAGTGAAGCTTGATCCTGTTGCAGCGTACACACAATCATCCTGA